CAAAACACCCCAGACCCCTCCGGAAAATGATTCGGGGGTCGAGAAACCCCCTCGGCAACGACGACGACGACAACGACGACGACGAATACGACGACAACGGCGACAACGTCAACGGCGGAGACGGCGCACCTGTCGCCGGCGCCCGCGCCAGGCGCCAGCTTTGATAGAATGATACTAGGGCCCGATCCAGCGACCTCCGGATCCTACTAAGGCTCGATCCAGCTCTCATAGAATATTGCTACTGGAGCTGGATCCGACGTTCTTGAAATCCTATTCAGGTTTGACCCAACTCAAACAGGATCCTGCAACCTCTCAATCCGGCTTTAACAGAATCCTACGAGGGCTGGATCCAGCCCTACGAAATCCAGCCCTATTAGGAATCCGACCGAAGCTCAATCGAGTTTTAGACGCCATCCTATTAGGAGCGGATCCAGCTCGCAAAAATCCTACTCGGGCTCGATCCAGCCCTTGGAGAATACCACGATGATTGATTCGAAGTCGAAAGAGCTTTCACTGGGGGGGATCCAGCTCTAATAGAATCCAGATGAGCCTGGATCGAGCTTGAATGGAAAGCCCGCAGGACAGCATCTAGCTCCAATCGAATTCTATCGGGGCTCGATCCAGCTCTAACAAGTCTGAGAAGGCTCCATCAGATTTGACCCACGTCCTCCTTAGGGTCGATCAAGCGCTCTCAAATTCGATTTGGGGCTCAAACCGGCACTGATGGAATCCTACTAAAGCTCGATCCAGACCTAAGAGCAGCCTACTGGGGCTGGATCCAGCCCTAACGAAAGCCAACTAAGGCTCGATCCAGCTGCGGTGGAATCCCATTACGGGTGGGCCTGGCTCTGAAATTACCCTGCGACGCACCCAACCCACGTGCATCAAATGGCAAGAGGAGTATGCCAACATTAGCAGGAACAACGACAGTGTAGACGCGGCGATTTGCTGTGCAAGCTACATGGGATGCGCATGCGTTGCACGATTCACAGGACGACGATCGAAAGAACGAGGCTTGAGGCCCCAGGATCGAAGAAGAACGGGTACGGGAACGAGGGGTAGGAGAGGGATGGAATGGAGGGCGGGGGGGGCGAAAGGCCATCGCGGAAGCAGCAGCATGCATGGAGAAGGTGAGGCGGGGAATAGGACGACGATGAAAGTGGCGGGAGGAGACAGAAGACTGCCGCGTTTTTCAAGTGCGAGCTAAACCCGCAGCGCTGCCTGCGCCATGTCGTCGCAGAGTTCCACATGATAAAACTTGTTTAGAGTGCAAGGAACGAGCGAGGCGTAGCTCGCCCGCTAGCTTCTCCGCCTCCTTCCCGCACATTTCAGCGCGGGAGCTGAACGCTCGCAGGCGCGCCGCCAGGTCTGCGGGCGGCCCGCGGGAAAGAAACTCAAGGCCGGGGTCGCGTATCATCAATCGGTTGTCCATCGTCCAAAGTTGCACTGGCGACGTACTGGTTGAACGCGGAGCGAGCAGCATCACGCGCGTGCCTGAACGCCACGCAGGTACAGTGCACGCGCGATTGGGACTTCAGGTCGATCACGCGCGTCTCCACCAGGCTTGGCAACACCACGCGACTGAGGATCTCACTGCGGTCTGCCATGCTGCTGTCCGCGAATGCAATGCGCTGCCTGCAAGTAAGGCGGCGGCGTCCACTTGTCTCAGAAGATGTTCCCGCGGGCCCGAAGGGCGACCGCCAGCTCGAGCCGCGGCGCCGGCAGGCCAGATAAGGATCATGCAACAGCAAAGACGATGACAGAGCAACGAGGTATCGGCGAGTGCATGACCGGCCTCCGTTTCCTGCACTTCTTTCCTGTAGTTCCCCTAGCTCATCGAGCTCAGCAGATGTTTCTGCGGGTCCGAAGGACGACCGCCAGCTCGAGTCGCAGCGCCACGTGGCACGAACCGCAGAGCAAGGGCACGCGAGCATTGCTCGTGGTCAGAATCTGAGTCCCCGTGGTGCCTCACTCCGCTGGCCACCCACCAGCAGCCCTCGAAAGTGGCGACAGTTTCACAGATCGCAGCCGCCCAGGGGTGGCGAGGTCTAATCTGAGTCCCCGTGGTGCCTCACTCCGCTGGACCCACCAGCAGCCTCGAAAGTGGCGACAGTTTCACACAGGGATGGCGAGGTCTAATCTGAGTCCCCGTGGTGCCTCACTCCGCTGGACCCACCAGCAACCCTCGAAAGTGGCGACAGTTTCACAGATCGCAGCCCCCCAGAGATGGCGAGGTCTAATCTGAGTCCCCGTGGTGCCTCACTCCGCTGGACCCACCAGCAGCCCTCGAAAGTGGCGACAGTTTCACAGATCGCAGCCCCCCAGAGATGGCGAGGTCTAATCTGAGTCCCCGTGGTGCCTCACTCCGCTGGACCCACCAGCAGCCCTCGAAAGTGGTGACAGTTTCACAGATCGCAGCCCCCCCCAGAGATGGCGAGGTCTAATCTGAGTCCCCGTGGTGCCTCACTCCGCTGGACCCACCAGCAGCCCTCGAAAGTGGCGACAGTTTCACAGATCGCAGCCCCCCCCCCCAGGGATGGCGAGGTCTAATCTGAGTCCCCGTGGTGCCTCACTCCGCTGGACCCACCAGCAGCCCTCGAAAGTGGCGACAGTTTCACAGATCGCAGCCCCCCCCCCAGGGATGGCGAGGTCTAATCTGAGTCCCCGTGGTGCCTCACTCCGCTGGACCCACCAGCAGCCCTCGAAAGTGGTGACAGTTCCGCAGATCGCAGCCCGCCAGAGATGACGTGAAAGGCAAGAGAAGAGAAGAGGAGGAGCGAAGAGAGGAGGAGAAGGCAAGCAAGAGAGGAGAGGAGGAGGGAAGAGAGGGGGGGGCGGGAGGAGGAGAACGGAGACCGCAGTGCTCTATTCAAAACGAGTACCCAACGCAGGAGGGTTGGGAAAAATCATCAGGGCTGACTCCAAGTCTGATGGAATTTTACTACAGCTCGATTCCACTAGGGCTCGATCGCCATCGTCTGCGTCGTCGTCGGCGTCGTCGTCGGCGTCGGCGTCGTCGTCACGTCGTCATCGTCATCGTCGTCGTCGGGTTCGGCGTCAGCGTCGGCGTCGGCGTCAGCGTCGGCGTCGGCATCGGCGTCGGGAATGGCGTCGGCATCGGCGTCGGCATCGGCGTCGGCGTCGGCGCCGGCGCCCGCGCCGTCGTCGTCGTCGTCGTCCTCGTCGTCGTCATCGTCGTCGTCGTGAACGTCGTCCTCGTCGTCATCGCCGTCGTGAGCGTTGTCGTCGTCGTCGTCATCGTCGTCGTCGTCGTTGCAGGGTTGCCTGGGCGGAGAGCGGGGGGGAGGGTTCTGGACCTCTCGAATAATTTCCCCAGGGAGGGGATGGAGGGGGAGGGGATTCTGGACCCCCTCGAAAAAATAGCCCCGGGATGGGGGGGGGTCCAGAAACCTCCCCCGCCTGGTTTAACTCGCCAACGTTCGGACGTCCATTCCCCGTGCATTTTGTCGGTGTCGCGCGCGTACTTTTATGAGATGATCCGGTATGCTCCTCGATGGCCCTCGCAGAGAAGATTGCACACGACCGAGCGACGCCAAGGTAACGTACCCTTATCCCAGACCCCCGACTTCATGATTTGTTCATTACGTCGACCCCCAGAGGTCCCCACCCTTTCCCCATGACCGGCTCTGCATCCTGAGTCGTTTTTTGACGCTCCCGAGGCCCGGTGAGGGCCCCCGGAGGCCGAAAGTGAAGGAAAGCCTCCCGTCGTGGTTTTTGCATTACTCGAGGGGGTCTGGGACCATGGACTCCTGCTCCCCGGAGCGCTGCGACCAGAGGAGGCCACGGAGGGCGGCGCGTCTGCTTCGGGCGGGGGGCACCGCAGGGCCCCAGGGCCGTGCGGAGAGCTGCTCGGGAGGGCGAGCCGGCCCCCGGGGAAGGGGGTCCGGACGTCGCGGGGGGCACCTGTCAGGCGGTGATGCTCCAGCCTGCGTTAGCCCTGACCACCAGACAGGATTTCGAGCGCCCCCCCCAAGAAACGAAACTCAGGGGTTTTCACGTGTCGGGCCCTGGGAGACGCTCGCCCGACACTGTTTCGACACTGTTTCGACACTTTTCTGGGTGCTCGAAATTAGTTCTGGGAGGTGGTCCTTCCTCCTACAGGGGGATTTCGGACGAAGCATAGAAAACAGTGAGAACAAGTCCTCAAACATAGTCGAACAGAATCGTTCCCAGACTGTGTGCTTGACTAGGATTGGATGTTTCTTTACTGCTTTTGATGACTTGTTGGTCAAAGCTTGCGATGCAACTGACCCTGAGATCCTGGCGTCACAATTTGTTCACACTGAGCGGGTTGACCATGTTTCGAACCTGGGGGCAATCACGGATTCATCCAGCCGGTGAGATCAAGCAGAAAAATGGGGCCTAGGGCTCCGCTCGTGACTTGTCGCGGCGTCGCAATGGTTTCGCAGCGTCGGATCTCGGGGGATGGCACGTGCTGGAACAGTGTATGAAGTTCGGCTTCCTGGTCAGGGCTTCGGGTACACCCGATTGCATGTGGTGACCCTCTGGTTCCGGATCAGGGCTCCGGATGCGCCTGATTGGACGCTGGGGTTGGGGATACATCAATGCAGGCCCGCTCCCTGGGCAGGGCCTTGACGCGCCTGACTGCACGTGGTGAGGGTACTGTGGCGAGCTGCTGTCTGTTCTCCCTCGGCCTCGTCCTGCTCCTGACGCCCTCGTCTTCAGGGCAAGCGGGAGCTGAGACTCTGCTCCGAGACGGGCGCCTGCTGCGCTCCTCGCTTTCACATCCGCGTGAGGCAGTGCCGCGGTGGAGCAAAAAAGCAGGAGGGGGGGGGGCAGTTGAGATGCGGGAGAAGGAGCGGAGGGGGGAGGAGTGGGAAAGGAGGGGCGGATGAGGAGGAGGGGCGTTCGACATCCTCAAGAGGTGGATCTGGGGGTCCACTTGGGACTGTCCTGGACCACACCGTGGGGCTTCTCTCAGTCCGTCGTGTGCCGCGCTGTGCTGCTGTGCTGTTATCCGGCGCATTTTGAGGCGCGAAAGACGACAGTCGCCGCGGGAAGTCAAAGAAGCTCAACGGACTCCTACAGCGCAAGGTTAAGTCAGCAAGTCAAAGTCAGAGAAACGAATGGTCTGGCAGCACATGGTGGATTCGGAGGAGCTGAAACGCATCCTAAGATAGGATCCTGCGCTTCGCAGCATCTGGCTGGCGAAGTATTGCTGCTACCAACCCTTGTCTAAGCATACAGGAGGCGCTGCAAAAAAGAACCAGGAAACGCAACAAGCGTAAGTTGCCCCTGATTAAGTTGCACCTGCATCTAGTACATATTCATAACAGGAGATGGAAAAGTATCTGGACATGGTGAGGGGACCTGTAATTCACCTGTCCCCTAACTATTTCAATCCCTGGCACTGCACGCACCCGTCCACACATCAGGGTGGCAGAGCCCTCGTCAAGATGAGCTTGACTGGCTCAAAGAGAAGCCCGCCCCTCGAAGAGCCGGCTCGAGCACGCGTAGAGGTAAGCCCAGGATCTCCGGTGCCGCCCGTGTCGTTCCGGCGGCCCCGAGGAGAGGCGGAGGGGGAGGAGGAGGCGGAGGGGGAGGAGGAGGAGGAGGAGGAGGAGGAGGGGGAGGAGGAGGAGGAGGAGGAGGAGGAGGAGGAGGAGGAGGAGGAAGAGGAAGGGGAGGAGGAGGAGGCGGAGGAGGAGGAGGCCGCTCGAGGAGCGGAGCGCCGCCGAGCCGACGCCGACGGGGCCTCGAGGTTGCTCCGCGGGCGCAGGGGCCGGGGGCCGAGGGTCGGGGCTGGAGCGCGCGCGAGCCCTGCAGCGGGGGCCTGCGTGTGGAGCTCCCTCGGAGGCCCCGAAGCGTGTGAGAGGCGTGCCCAAGTGGTCGGGGACGCATGCGATGCGAGGCGGGGATCTATCCATGTCCACCGCCTGGGAACCGACGTCCTGGTGCCCCAGCGGGCAGTGGATATGGATATATTTCGGCCCCCAGGGGCCCGAATATGTCCATATCCACCGCCTGCCGAGACTCCAAAAATTGACCCTCCAGGCGGTGATCATGTATAAATTCCCGCCTCGGATGCGAGCCCTGTCACTGGGGGCCTTCGCGTGGAGCTCCCCGTGGGGCCACGAGACGTGTGAGCGGCGTGACGAAAGGAGAAGCGGGAACGCATGCGAACCCTGCCACTGGGGCCTTCGGTCCAGCTCCCTATGGGGCCCAGGGTGCGCCGAAGTGAAAAACGGGAACGCGTGCGAGAGACGCGGGGCAGTAATAACAAATATATTCGACACCGCAGGATGGCTGGGAAATCAATGCGGAAGCTTGTCGTCGTCTTCGGCCTCCGGTGGCCGGGGCTGGGTCCAGGGGCCGTCGAGAAAACTACTCGGGATGAAAAGCCGGTCCCAGAGAAGGGGTCAGAACTTCTGGGGACCGCGCATTGAGAAAAAAAAAAAAAAAAAAAAAAACGGCGATGCACTCCACCGTAGGCAGTCGTGAATGCCGTGGTTGTGGGTGTCGTCTCTGGTGGAGCACCCTGTAGGTGCCGGAGGCACGCCGCGCACAGTTCCCTGTTTGCGTCGCAGCGCGACGGAGGCAATCCGCACGCGCGCTGCAGCCCCCCCGGCGCGTGGCGCACCAATCCGGCCGTCGCTGGGACGCCCGTGCCGCGTGCATGTTCCGGCTTCGTGCGAACGTTTGCGCACGGTGATCCAAGATACTCTGGATTCCATAACAAAGTGGGGGGGTCACATTCGGGGGGGGGTCTAATTTGAGCTGTCTTGGAGGGTTCGGGGGGTTTGGGCAAAGGGCCGCCCTTTCATGGATAGTCTGGGGGGTCTAAAACTTCTCGTCTGGGAGGGTTGGGACCCCCTCCCTTTTATTACGAAATCTGGAGTACTCCTCGAGGGTCCCCGCCGGGAAAGAGTGCACACGTCCGAGCGACGCCGAGGCGTCACCCGGCGGCAAGAGGAGGGAAGGAGCAAGGAGGGCGGCCGCAGGGAGCCGGGCGGGGGAGGAGGGCGAGCGCGTCGGCAGGAGTGGCGCCGGGGCGGCCAGCGCTGTGCTGGGGCGACCTGGCAGTGGGCGCGAGGCGGTGCAGTCGGGGCGTTGACCTAAGGAACCCTAAATAAGGAACGAGGCCCCTTTTTTCCATAAGTTAACCTTCGACTTCTTGTCAAAAGCATAAGGAAGACCTGAGGCAAGCTGTGAAACACTTAAGGAACGCGGAGCCCCTCCCCAACGAAAAGGGTTCCTTCTTCAGGGCCCAGACTGCATCGCGCCCACGCACGTCGCGTGCAGGGGGGGCTCGTGCAAAAATCTCTGGCGGTCGTAGATTGTGCTGCCTCTACGCTCCTGGGGCCACCTGCTGCTCTGAGCGCGCCCCGAGGGGGCTCCCGTGGGCTCCCCAAAGAGCGCCAGGATGGCCCAAGCTAGAGACCTGAGAGGGCCCAAGAAACGGTCAACCCGTAGAATAAGGACGCGCGATGCGGACGCAAGGGCCTTGGACAGCCATGTCGACACTTTGCGATCGGGGCGCGGCCAGCGAAAGCGGCCAAAGATGAGCCGAAGGGGAAGGATGCAAGGGTAACCTTGGAAAATCGATCATTCTTACTGTGCAGGTTGACTGTAGATTGTGATGGCTCCATGCTCCCAAGGCCAACTGCTGCTCCGAGCGCGCCCCGAGGGGGCTTCAGTCGGCTCCAAGGAGCGGCAGGAAGATCCGTGCAGGGACCTGAGAGGGCCCAAGATGAACCCGAAGAGCCCAGGAGAACGAGAAACTGAGCGAGGAGGAGGAGGACGACAACGACGACGGGTGGCGACAGGGTGCCCCTCGACGCCTGAGGCAGGGGGGCAACCCTCCCTCCAGACTCCCTCTTCATGGGCCCCTACAAAGGTTTATTTCCACTGAGGGAACTGCCCCGCTGGAGGACCACCGCGTGAAGATCCTGAAGCGTAGCAGAACACAGGTCTCAAGACTTCAACGCCACGAGTTAACCTGACTGTTTCGTCTTGGCCATTCCGAATCGTGCCAAAAAACCGTTCCTGGGACTTCAACACCGCGAATCAACGTAACTGCTGCGCCCCGACAATCCTGAATCGTTCCAAAACGCTGCTACGCGGCGCTAAGGCGGTAAGCACATCTTGAAAAAGGAACCGCCCTCAATCCGTGAAGCTCTGGCAGATTGTGTTGAACGAATGTGCACAACACTATGGCGAAAGCCACATGTTGAAAACCACCCGCCCTCAATCCGTGAAACTCCTGCACATGTTTCAACCGAAAGTACGGGGCGCGAGGGCGATAGCCACATTTTGAAAACCACCCGCCCTCCAATTGTTTAACTGTTGCCAGCCTCATAGCTCAAGGCTCATGAATGTTTAGAAAGTCTCATGCGATGCGCCTGGCCCGCCCTTCCGACTGGCCTCAGGGTGCGACAGGGAGGCGAAAGGAATGAAGGAGAAGAAGGAGGAGGACCCAGGCAGGAGCAGGCGCATGAGGTAGGGTACCGGGCACGAAGGGCCCAGCAAACAACGCCGGCGGCAAGCATCAAAAATCCGCCACTGTGGCTTGAGCACGTGGTGGTGTGGTGTCGCAAGGCCCTACAGATGTGAGCGCTGCTAATCGGATTGTCAAATCCTCAAGGGGCAGATCACAAATTGGCTGGAACTCCCAGACGCTCCGATAGCTTGCAGCGCGGGTATCCTGGAGGTCAAAGCAGCCCACACCGACCCCAACATCCTCCGAGAGCATTCCGAGAAATGCTCAAGAAGGCTTAGACAACCTCGGCCCAGGAGGCTAACAACATCACTGAAGCGCCGCCAGTGTTGTAGGATTCTCGCACACTCGGCCATTTGGATGTCAGAGCGTCCAAGACGGACCAAGACCCCTCCAAGTCCAGTCCAAGAGGGCTTTCGAGGCATCCATAAGTGGCCCAGAAGTGTTCCTGTGGCAGAGCACGGGGAATTCGAACTGACACTTTGACCCCTCCACTCCGACATCCCGACATGGCCCCCGAGATGGCCAGTTTGACCCGAACAAACACCCCAGAGGCCCCCGGAAACGCCCAGGAGGCTCCTCCTCCTCCTCCTCCTCCTCCTCCTCCTCCTCCTCCCGTATCCCTTTCCTTTAAAATAACTCTTCCATGTCGCACCCCCACACGTGTCGTAGGGCGGGCTGGGCGTGTGTGAGACTCTTTCCCGTTTGTCGTCGTCGTCGCCGTCGTCGTCATCGTCGTCGTCGTCGTGATCGTCGTCGTCATCGCCGTCGCTAACGTCATCGCCATCGTTGTCCACGACGTCGTCGTCAGTCCCAAGGAGATTGAGGAACGTCGCAGTTGAATCGGTTCCCCTCCCCTCATCCCTTCCCTGCCAAGGGGGGCGGGGGGCGGTGGGAGGGGGTGGGGGAGGGAGGGGCTCCCTGGTCAGAATACCGCCCCCCAGGAGGGCCCCGGCGGGTCCCGGGGGGGTCGCCAGCGGGGGGCCCGCCCGCCCGCAGGGTCCGCGACACCGGCACAGAGCCTCCGCAGCAGCTCCTCCCTGTCGCGCCCCCAGACGTGTCCTTGGGGCGAGTTGGGCATGCGAGAGACGCTTTTCCGTGTGCGGCCGTCGTCGTCATCATCGTCATCGTCGTCATCGTCATCGTCGTCGTCGTCGTGGTCCTCGTCGTCGTCATCATCGACGTCGTCATCGTCGTCGACGTCGTCGTCAACCTTAAGGAAATTGAGGGACAAGGAATATGAACGTCGTGGTGAAATCGATTCCCTTCCCTTCGTCCCTTGACTCCTTAGAAAGGGGGGGGCCCAGGTCAGAAGACCACCCCACCTGGGATCCCGGTGGGTCCCGGGGATGTTCGCCAGCGGGTGGTCCCCCCGGAGGTCCCGCCGTCGGGGTCGGCGGCACCAGCCGTGAGGCCTTCGCAAGAGCTCTCCGCTGCCGCACCCCCGGACGTGTGGGCAGGGCGTGCTGGGCGCTTCGCCTAGGATGTCCTCGACATGCATGCTCCCAAAGCTTGGAATTTGCAGCAACGTTTTGGGTGCAGGGCGGGTGTTTTTCAAACATGAGGCTATCGCTGGAGCGTCGCGCACGCTCGTCGTTACAGATTGCAGCAGCTTCAAGGATGGAGGCCGCGCGTTTCCCTAAATGTGGCTCGCCTTAGCGACGCGTACATGCGCTGTAAAGGTTTGCAGCAGCTTCAAGGATGGAGGGCGAGTCCGTTCGAAACTGTGGCTCTCGCCTTTGCGGCACACACACACACACACACACACACTCGTCGTCAAAGCTTGCAACAATGTTTAGGATAGAGGGCGGATGGTTTTCGAAATGCGGCTCTCGCCTGGGTACCGCGCACATTCGTTTCAACAGTTTGCAGCAATTTCAATATGCAGTATCGAAATCCCAGGAACGGCTTTCTGGCAGGACTTAGGACTGTCGTCACGCAACAGTCATGTTATTTTTTCTGTGCTGAAGTCCCAGGAATGGTACTCTGGCGCGAATGAGGATTGTCAGGACGCAAAAGTCAAAATGATTCGCGGCATTGACATCCCAGGAACGGTGTCTTGCCATTATCGAAATCTCTCAAACAGCTGTCGTTAAATAGGGCACTTCCCGCAATGAAAACACTCGTATGGGCCCTGAAAAAGAAACTTGGAGGGAGGGTCTACTGCAACATATTTGATGCGTTTTGGGTTTGCACTGGTTATCCTCCTCCTCCTCCTCCCCCTCCCCTCCTCATCTGGTTCCTCCTCCTCCTCCACCTCCTCTTCTTCTTCTCCATCCCATCATCCTCTCCATCTCTCTCTTCCTCACTCTCTCTCTCTCTCTCGCTTGCTGCCCCCCAGTGATCCCCCGATGGTTTCCCTAACGGCCTGGGGGAACACGCAGCTCATCAGCTTGGCCAAACTTTTTGGCCCAACGTTTGGCAGCATTGGCGCCTCCAGGAAGGCAAGGGGGCAACGGTGCCTCGCCGTAAGCGCATTCGATTCGGAGAGGATACCGCGAGGGTGCCAACCCTGGCGCTGGATTCTGACACCGCGCTGGATCCTTCAACCTTGAACGATCGGCCGTTTCCCAAACGTTGGATCGTCCAACGTCGACCGATTCTGGGTCGCCCGCGGCGTTCCACGCTGGACGCCAGCAGCGGGGTCGCCGCCAGTAAGTACGATGCGAACCTGCCGCACCGCAAGGGGTGGCCCGACACGTGGCCAGAGCTCTCGCGACTCCACGGATTCCGCTGCGCTGGGCCCCTCGGGCGTCCACGGATTCCACCGCGCGGGGCCCCTCGGCGGCTCACACTCTGCGGCGGCCGCCCTCACTCATGGTGTAGTTGAGGTACGCGTCCGAGCCGCTGATGTCGGGATGCGGGAGCACACAGGCGGCGGGGCACTCCGTCAGCGCCGCCTTGTCGTACGTGAAGGTCATGAGGTCCGACTCCTCTTCGTACTCATCGCCCATGGTCATGTAGGCCGACTGAGTGCAGCCGCAGGTCTGCGGGCAGAGAAACTTGATCGACATGAAGGAGCCCGGGGCACACAAGTCGATGCCTAGAAGCGCTTTGATCTCAAACGATGCTAAATACTCACAGCCAGTCCGCCCACGTGGATGCCGGTAGCCAGGCATGAGCTCCCATCTGCCATCAACCATCGACTGTGCCATGTTCCCGCTCACAATCCACTCTGCGAGCCGTTCTTCAGCTGAGGGATCCATGTTGATCGTGATGTCTAGAGAGGTCTGGGCAAGGACCTCGCGCACACGTTTCTCGAAATCTGTCATGGACGTCAAATATTGGAACAAGCCCCTCACGTATATCAGGTACCAAAACGCAGGAACGTCCATGTTTTTACACTCTTCCGACAAATGATTAACGCATTCAATACTGGTTGACGTCTCCAGAACTCCCCCACCGCATTTACAGCACATGTCTGCAGCCGTGAAATCGGAATCGTCAAAGCCACTGCAGTCGCTCTGCTGCATAACATCACAATTTTTTAGGTTGCGGCTGTAGTAGGGCCCGAACTGGTCCAAATTGACGCAGCTGTCATCGAAAGAAAACGCATCTTCCCCCAAATCTTGGCAGGCAAACACGCCGTCAGTTGTCGCTAAAGACAGCTGCACCGCGGCCGCTCCCTGAAGAATCTCGTTGCGGGCGGCCTTCAAGACGTCGCACTGCGACGGGCAACCGCCGGCCGCGGTCTGAAAAAACCCGGCGTACGCACTCCTGCAGGCGAGCCCAGAATCGAATCGAGAAGTCGATTCGGCGATCGACATGAATCGGATCGGCGAAAATCGGCAGCCAAGTCGGGAAAAGTCGAATCGGCGGAAATCGGCAGGCTAATAGGCCTTCAATGAGATATCGGACCCAAAATCGGAATCCCAAGCCGAATCGAATCGGAACCGGAATTAATCGGAATCGAATCGAATCGAATCGAATCGGGGACATCGAAACGAGCCCTGCTCCTGTATCGGCCCGGCATGTCGCACTCGCAGTGGACTGGGCAGATCGCGCGCAGGTCCGCCCGGTCGTACTCCCCGCACAGCTGCCAGGCAACGTCCGAGCAGTTCTGGACGCTGGTGTCGTTCAGGAGCTCCTCTCGCCATCTTGATGTTTTTTTTGTTTTTTTTGGGGGGGGGGCTTCTGCAAACAATGTTCATGAGCTCCTCTCGCCATCGCTCGGACGCCACTTCCCTGGGCTTTTTGTTCGGTTTCGTGCGTGTTTTTTTCGCCAGCTGATCAATGATGCTCCTCGATTGTCCTCGCCGAAGGAAGCATGCACACGTGCGAGCGATGCCAAGTGGTCCTGGAGGTACTCCCTCGCAGCCTCCACCGACTGGCCGTTCCCCATGTTCTGGCACGTCAGGCTCCCGGCGGCCGCCTCCAGGGTGCTCATGCTGAGCAGGAGGACCTTGTTGAAGTAGTCGGCGTCGTACGGCACGGCGGAGATGCCTCTCGCCTCCTCCTGTGCCTCCGGAGGAGCATGAAGGGGCCCAAGGACACACAAGTCAATACACACAAATAAAGATATGCCCCATATTTTCATGTATTTTGGGGGGTTTTCGTCCCCCCCACTTCCCATATTTTCCCATCTGTTCTGGGGAATCGACGATTAATTGTGTCTGCGTGTCTGTTCCTCCGGAGGAGCACAGAACAGCATCAACACAAACGCTCGGAGGTCCGCGCGGCCTCCCCGGATCTGCCCTGGCCCCCCCCTCCCTGGCGCACGGGAGGGCGCCAGGAGCGGCGCCGGAGGCGCCGCCAGGGGAGGTCCAGCGCCAGTGCAAGAGATCCGCGCGAGGCTCCGAAGGATTGGGGGGCCGCTCCGCGCCGCCGCCAGGGGCTGCCCCCTTCAGCCTGGCCGCCCCCGCGCGCTCCCTGCGGCTCGCCGCGTGAGAGGCCCTGCGTCCCTCCCCCTCTCCCTCCGCGGCCGCCCTCTCTCACCCTCCCCCTCCCTCCCCCTCCCTCCCCCTCCCCTGCGTCCATCCCCCTCCCCCTTCCTCCCCTCCCCCCCCCCCTCCCCTGCGTCCCTCCCCCTCCTCCCCCTCTCCCTCCCCTCCCTCCCCTCTTGCATGCGGGCCAATTCGCGACTCCCGCAGCCCGGTGTTGCCACGCGCGCGAGAGGATCGCCTCTGCCGCGTCGCGACGTAAAAGAGAGCGGTTCCTTATTCGGCGATTCGACAGTGGGCGGAAGGGGGGGGGGAGGGGGGGGTCTGACTCTGGGCTGATGCTTAATGCGACTGTTTGAAGCAGCGCGTCCTATGTGGGGGAGGCTCCACCTGCTTGAAACAGGCGCCAAGAACAGCCAAGATCTACTCCATGGGGGGGGGGGAGGGGGAGGGGAGGAGGAGGAGGGGGAGGAGGAGGGGGAAGAGGAGGAGAGGAGGAGGAGGAGGGGAGGAGGAGGAGAGGGAAGGAGGAGGAGGGGGAAGAGGAGGAGGAGGAGGAGGAGGAGGAAGAGCAGGAGGAGGCAGCAGCAGCAGCAGGTGCGAGGGCCCGCACCGATCGGAAAAAGCACTGAGCAAGAAAACGATCACGGAGCGTCTCTCGTTCGCCCTGCTCGAGCCTCGAGCACCGCTCGGGTGTCGGCGCTCGTGGCGTACTCCATCGCCAGCGGATCCGCCCCCGCCGGCGTCCACGTGCCCTCGTCCACGGCGAGGGGCGGCTGCGCCACCTGCCAGGGCAGCCCAAGAGGGGGGGGAGCGCCCCAAGGGGGGGCGCTCGCAGACTGTGGCCCGAGGCGTGTTCGCGGACGAAGCGGGAACCACAGGACGTCTTGGAAGAAGAAGAAGAAAAGGAGAAGAGGGTACCAAAGGACACATTTGAGGAAGAAGGAGGACCCAAGGACGTATCAAAGAAGAAGACGTGTTGACGGAGGAGACCAGAAGGACGTGTTGTGATCTGGGGAAACATCATGGCCCCCGCCAGTGGGCTGCGCGTAAGACTGACCCTGGGCAAGAGCAGCCTTTGGTGCGCAGCTTCTGTGGGGCGCGAGGGGGCCAAACTCGACCGCGCAAGACGCCGCTACCGCATCGGCTTCGGCGATCGGGGGGCCCTGGTGGGCCCGAAGGTCGCTCCAGCGAAGGGTCACTCCTTACGAGTAGCCAAGCCATGACATCCAACCGCCCACCCCAACCCCCTCGTCATCACCCCCGTCTTGGACGCCCCTGAACCTGCAGGACGTGGAGGTGCACCAGCTGCCACGCATCGTCGGCGGGGGCTGACCTGGCGACGTGGACCATCTGCGTCGCGGGGTTCACTGCCCAGACAAAGTTCTGCTCGCCCTCGCACAGGATGCTGTCGGCCTCGGGGGAGGAGGAGGATCAGGGGCAGCAGGAGGAGCAGTGAGCGAGCAACGACATATGTACATGTACGCCCTCCGCGATCTTGAGTGCACGAACGTCCTCGTTCAAATGCCCTCCAGGGGAAGCTAACCGCGTACGTGTACATATGTTGCTGGCCTCTGAAGCAGGAGAGGGCGGAGGCGCAGGAGAGGGGGGAGGCGGAGGAGGAGGCAGAGGAGGAGGCAGAGGAGGAGGAGGAGGAGGAGGAGGAGGCGGAGCAGGAGCAGAGGGAGGAGGCGTAGGAGGAGGCGGAGGAGGGAGGAAGAGGCGGAGCAGGAGCAGAGGGAGGAGGCGGAGGAGGAGGAGGAGAGGAGGCGGAGGCGGAGGAGGAGGCGGAGGCGGAGGCGGAGGCGGAGGCGGAGGCGGAGGAGGAGGAGGAGGAGGAGGAGGAGGAGGAGGAGGAGAGGAAAGAGGCCGAGGAGGAGGAACGGAGCTACACACAAACTCTCGAAGGCCCGCGCGGACTTCTCGGATCGGCGCTGACCCCTGCCTGGCGCGCGCAGGCCGGCAGGGACAGCGCAGCGCCAGGGGCGGCGCGCCGGAGGCGCTGCCAGGGGGTCCAGCACAGATCCAAGAGATCCGCGCGGGCGGACGGAAGTTTATTCGTGTCGTGTTTTGCGGGTAGAAGATCGACTACATAATCGATTCAACCCCAGAAACGAATTTGTTTCCGTCGAATCTGCCAAACATACGTAGAATGTTCCATAGATCTACAGAACGTTCTACGCACTGTTCTCGCACTTTGAGCATGAACAACAAGTGTGGGGTAAATAAGTTATAATGTCGATCTCCTACTCGAGGTGTTGTTCTTCGAGGCCTGCTTTAGCGTCATGAAGAAAGGGTTCAGCAGGGTGATTTGAACAGAGAGCAGGATGGCGAACACCAGCACGACTTTCACCATTGCGAGACAGCCAGGCGCCCGTGTAAATACCTTGTCTGGGCAAGGCAACGCCTCGAGGTTCGCCATGAGTGTCTGCATACGCCGTGGGGCAAACACGGCAAATAGCAGCTCGTCAATCCCCATGATGAATTCTAGTGCGATGGCGTTCAGCACGAGGTCCTCCTTGACATTGGTCTTCGACAAGTATAAGATCCCAGCGAAACCTATCGTGACACCCACTGCAAACCGGCAGAAGGCGATCAGAACAAGGCACGCCCAGTAGCGCAGGGTAGTGATTGATTTTACCCTGACTACCACCATCAAGGTCAGAAGAGTCTCCAAGCTGCCAGAGGGTGTCCTCGAAACTCTCGAAACTTCATTCCTTTCTTCATTAAAAGAGGCGTCGTCGCTCTCCGTGACTAGTATTCTAGTCTTATGCCCGCGATTCAAAAAAAAGAGCGCGCTCCCAAAGTTCCAGGCTGCCGTCAGCTCTCTGAATACAGTGCAGATCCACAGTGTCTGAGCCAGGTACATCAGTATATCTCCTCCTTGATTAAAATTCTGAATGGTCTCGTGCCAGGACGCCTGCGTGGCCGACATGTGCAACTGGGCCTGCGCGTTCTCTCCACACATGTCCGCGATCATAGACCGCTGCACCACCGTGTCAGCATAGTCAACATGGTGGGCTACCGTTACCCTCCAGGTCAGCAGCTCGTCCAGGGTATCCGTGGTGATGTCCGCGTCCTGCATGTAAAGAAACACGAGGACACAGAAAGCAATCTGCATGGCGATGTTCAGCGCCCAAAGCAGCGCAAGGATTATGGACACCCCTGGCCCTATGCTATCGTTAGAGGAACAAAAGACGGAATTCCCATAAACTTTCGGAGCTCCGCGAGGACTTCTTGGATCGGCGCCAGACCCCCCCCTAGCAGAGCCTCTGCCGTGCCAAAGGAAGCGCCAGAGGCACAGCTTGGGGGCCCCAGCGCCGAGCCGAGAGATAATCGCGAAGCTCCGAAGGCTTCCCTGAGATCAGAAATCTCGGAAAAATTGAAACGTCGCACAAAATCACGGTTGGAGCCCAAACCGCATGTTTCTGCGTCAGTGTGCGAGCCGGATCGATCCGTGAGGGTACCAAGGCCCGAAACCAGGCAAAAGCGCTCCTTCTGAAAAAAATGAGACGCCAAGATCTGAAGGGTCATGATTATGCCGTGTTATCTTCCTCGACTCGTGCCCGATGAATGCAGCGGCATCCCATACGGACTGCTCCGCCTCGTACATGCCACCGGCGTCGAGGCGAGCTGGCCGGACGGCGGCGGCGTCCCTGGCGCTGATGGTCTTGGAGGCCACGTAAGACGTGGTCTCGGCGCTTCTCGAGAGGACATCGCGAAGGCCGCTGTCGCCGCCTGTGGGCATCGTTTAACCAACCCTGAGATCCTAGCGTCTCAATTTTTTCGAACTGGGCGCTTTCGCCCAAATCCGGGGCCTGGGACCTGGGACCTGGGACCTTCACATGTTCACAGATCGATGAAGAATGGCGGATAAAGATGGGGTCTAGTTTTCCAATTGTGATGTTCGCGATGTTCGAATTTTCCCGAGACGTCGGGTCTCAGGGGATCCCTCTCCGCATTGGCGTGGCCTCTGCCCCACTGGCCGACTTCCCCATCTAATTAGTGGTAATACCGGCACACACATAGTCATGTATGCATACATACGTACATACATACATACATACATGCATGCATACATGCATGCATGCATACAGGCATGCATGTATACGTATTCACATACATGCATGTGAATATATGTATATATCTAGATATCTATAGATGTACATACATACACGCATGCATGCATGCATGCATACATGCATGCATACATGCATACATACATGCATACATACAAACAGACATGCATGCATATACATACATACATACATACATACATGCATGCATGCATACATTACATTACATTACATTACATTACATTACATTACTTTACTTTACATTACATTACATTACACTACATTACAGTACATTACATACATACATACATACAGACAGACATGCGTACGCATACAAACATACATACATACATACATGCATGCATACATGCGTACATGCATACATGCATACATGCATACATGCATACATGCACAGATGCATACGTATAGATGCATGCAGTCATACATACGTATATGGATATACATATATACCTGCATATATACATGCATGTATGCATGTATGCATGCATACATGCATACATATAGATACGTGCAGCCACACATACATACATACATGCATACATACATATGTACATACGTGTATACATACATACGTGCATTCATGCATACATAATACATAGATGCATGCATGCATGCATGCATACATACATACATACATGCATACAAGTATACAAACATACATGCATGCATGTATACATGCATATAGACCTACCTGTATACATGCATATATATATATATGTTACAATGAATTACAATACATCGATTTACATTACATTGCTGTGCAGTACCTTACATTACATTGCCATTACATTACATACAAACATACAAACCACGCCCGCGTTTCGAACGCGTTGAATATGTCAAGCCACTGCATGTGGTAAACCCTGGACTCCACTGAACTAGGTACCTACAATGGTTGGAGCATGAATGATGAAGGCTACGAGTGTGCTTCGGCACACCGATTGGGCAGACCAGTTTCGGCAAACTCTCTTCGGTAAACTGTTTCGGCAGACCCGCTTCAGCAGAAGTCCGCTTCGGCATCGGTGGATTCGGTAGGGCCTCTTCGGCAGGCCCTCATCGGCAGACCCGTTGCGACAGAACCGTTTCGGCAAAACGCCGTTTCGGCAGGTCGCTTTCGGCAGAGCCGTTTCGGAAGGCGGGTGAGGAGCATGAGAACGAGGGGGAAAGGGAGGGAAACGACGGCTGATCCTGACGATATTGTTTAATGTTGACGTTATCGGAGGTGAGGGGGTGAGATCGAAGTGGAACGGAGAGCCCCCCCACCGGGAAATCGATTTCGGTTTCGTGTTCGTGCGTGCCGTGCGTGCGGGCGAGGCGAAGCTGCGTGGGCGGGCGAGAGAAAGTCTCCTGTGGCTGAGGCGCGGCCGGACCAAATGATTCCCTTCCGGGCGGCCGGGGCCCCGCGGTGTCCCGCCGGTGTCCCGCTGGTGTCCCGTGTGGCTGAGGCGCGGCCGGACCAAATGTCTCCCTTCCGGGCGGCCGGGGCCCCGCGGTGTCCCGCCGGTGTCCCGTCGGTGTCCCGAAAATGATGTTGTTGATGATGATCATGATGGTTATGTTGATGGTGATGATGATGACGATGATGGTGTCCTGGTGATGATGATGATGATGTTAATGATGATGATGAGATGACGATGATGATGATGTTTCTGCCCGTTGTTGTTGATGATGATGTTGGTAATGATGATGCTGCTGATGATGATTATGGTATCCCGATGATGATGATGATGATGATGATGATGATGATTATTATGACGGTGGTGATGATAATGGGGATGGTGATGTTGTGCCGATGATGATATTGATGATGATGTTGGTGATGATGATGCTGCTGATGATGATGGTGTCCCGATGATGTTGATGATGCTGTTGATGTTGATGATGATAATGAGCTGATGATGATGATGGTGTCCCGATGTTGTTGATGATGTTGA